GAGAGTGTATCAACTCGTATCAACTCGTATCAACTCACCGCTTCAGTCCGAAGGACCGCGGACTCGAGTCCCGTCTTGAGCATGTTTGTTTGTCCCTTGTCTCTCATGTACGTGTTGTCGCGGAGAGCCTCGCGCTCTGTTGACCCCAGATCAGAGGAGCCCGCAACTCTGTTGGTGTCCAGTGAACGGTCAAATATGTGTCCCGTCGGGACGTAAAGAACAACCGGCTGCAGGCTGAAAAAAGCCCTATAAAGATATGGGTATATAAAACTACAAATTTTAAATGATTTTGCGGAACTGCAATTATGTAGTTAAAAGTATATCCTTCCTTGTAAATGATCCGAAAAATAACACAATAAACATAAAGAACGTTGTTTTTTCTCGTTGTAACTCCATGAACTTTCTTAATGTACCATAATATATTGTAAGAATAATGAAATTCATCCAGTAATTTTGGTCACAGCAATGTATCTGGGTAATATTATAATTGGGTAACCATATTCATGTGACTATGAAAATTCGTTCTATCCGCAATGTGTAAGTTCCCAGAGGTAGTTTTTTTCGTTCACACTAAGATATTGCCATTGTTTGTGTTCTTATCAACTGCGTAAAGAAAGTTCTTGAATGAACTGAAATCGCGAAATGACTCAAGAGCGTTGCGAACTGCAGCTCGCAGCCCACTGCAGTGAGTGAATCGGGGCGCACGGACGCTCGAGATAACGCACGCAGATCGCGCCCGTGGGAAGGGCCTCCGTCGCCCGCGGCCAAAATACCCTGGCGCCGCCCACGCGACCCGCTGCCCGCACGCGTGACGCCCGCCGTTAGCCCGCGCTCGCGTGCCGCCCTCGTCGTTCGCACGTGTCCGCGTGAGATCGGGGCTGTGGCACTGGCAGCCATTGCAGGAGCCGGAATTTCATTTCTACGGGAACTGCTCTAGTGGTCTTTGGAATTCTAATCTGTCGGAGACTTTTGTAATAATTCCCTATAGTATTTTGTCCAGACTTTCGTAATATTTCCCTCTGAATAATAGTTTAAAAAATGTAGACCAATTTTCACCTCCTGTAAAATTAAAAGACTGTTGTTGTTGTTGTTATTATTATTATTATTATTATTATTTTGTTCACGAATATGCCGACTAGGACCACGCATGCATACATCCTGCATTTACCGTGGCTCTGTGTCATTATCGCGTAGGCAGGTGAATGTAACTTTAATTGGGGACCAGCATTTAGCTTGAGTCCGATTTTTATTCACCAGGTTTGTTAGCCCTGGGGGTATGGAAGATGAAATGATGATAATAATGAGGGGTGAAATCGCGACCTTCTGGTCCGAAACAACTACGGCACTACTGCCTTAGCGATCTCGGCCATCTGATCGGCATTATTATTATTATTATTATTATTATTATTATTATTATTATTATTATTATTTGCTAACTTATTATTAACGAATTATTTGAAAACGGTATTTTTCTGGTAAATATAAAATGAGATCATTTATCATTTTATTCTACCAAAAATATAACATTATAAGGTCTTCTAATTTCGTAACAGCAGGGAAGTAGGGAGATGCCAAATGAATTATCTGCGATTATGTGATCCATGTGGTTGAAATAGAAGTTGGTTATGTCAAAACCAAAAACTCTGACAACCTTTTTTCGCTATTTCATAGGTGCATCCTCTGATTCCACAGAAAGTCGAACTCAGTGCCCAACTTTTATGCTTTTTCTTCTCTTGGAAAAAATACAGAGAGTTGTAGTGAGATGTGATAATAGTCATAGAAAATTAGGCCAAATCTAAGTAAAGAACTTTACAAATCTATAACATATGAAATTATTTCAAAATTCAGATGATAAAGATGTATAATCGCCACAAAATCAACAGAGTTATCGAACGATACCGAAATCTCAGATATCGTTCCACAAATTCACGACGTATGATCGCCTACTTCACCTTCGCCGGCAGCTGCTTTATGTTTCTCTGTGGGTTGCCCAGAGCGCAGCCCTTTTGACTCACTGAGGGGCGAGTGAGTAGCGCGGCGTGCCGTGTTCGTTATTTCGTGTGACGGCGCAGTCTGGACTCCGCCCCCCCCCTCTCCCTGCCAACAGGGCCGGCTTGCGGCAGGTCGTACGTCCCAAGCCTCCACGCAACCAACCTCTCCCCCAACGAAACGACGGTGACGAGTATACATAGCTTCAGTACACGAAGAAAGGAGATTGTTTCGTGTGAAACGCTCATGATCACTCTCTAAAAATGCGTGAGTTTTTGTAGCATTGAAGTAATATTTTGGAGGTAATCCTTAGAACTACAAAGAAACAACTAATAAAGTATAGAATGCGATCCAAATAAGAATGTACTACTGTTATGTTGAAAATAACTTGACATCATCAATTTTTTTTTACCTTCATATTTTAACATGTAAACATTGTTATTAATGTTTCTGTATAATGTACTGAAACTGAATCAACGTGTCTTCATATTTCATTAATTCGGATTACACTCCATCAATGTAACAAAATTTATTTTCAACGTAATGATTTGCTATCATAAAATTGTCTTCTTAGTTGACATCTGCCATTTACGTCAATTCTTCCAGAACTATCAACAAAAATCCATAATTATAATTATATTAATTTTCTGATGAATTCTCGCAGAGAATCTTCGCATTTGAAACTCTGGGAATCTATTTTAGATAATGGAGTAATACGATACAAATCATTTAAATTAATTTTGTAAACATTGAATATATTCATATAAATAATAATTACCGTATGATATTTCATGTTTATGTATTAATAAACTTGTTATAATCTATTGTCATGTCGTGTATGACTATGAACTGCATTTATAGTCAATTTAATTCAAGCACTGTTAATATATATGTTGCATATGCAGTAGAGTGACACAGCACGCCATTTAAAATAGTTATTCTCCAACTAAAATGTTGGTGTGTTCAGCTTACTTCTTCTACTAGAGGTTACATGAGTCACAATATTAGAGGCACAAAGGAAAATTCAACTGCAAGAAATGATGAGACAAGAAATCTGTACTTTTTCAACCCGTTGCGTACGGAAAGATAAATCTTCACGGTATGACTTGACTGTTCCTCGCCAACTTCTCGAGGGACACTTCGTGATCGCCGGTGACTTCATCATTACTGCTGCTTACTCCTAACGAAATTAGGCAACATCTCCGCTATTACTCCCAGAGTACCGTTTGAACGCCCGGTGTCCGCAGTTGCAGTTTTGTAATCACGACAGTCATGCGTCTTCGAACCCGCTGCGCCTCCCGCTAGTGTGCACTGTTTGCACTGTCGTTCCTGCCACGTCTTCCACCACGACAAGTCTAATGCGTTAGAGGCACTTAAAAATATATGAATATGCAATCTAAATTACTACGATACCCCATAACGCGAATAAACATTTACGAAATTGAGTACTTTTTAATATTAAAAATTAAGGAAAATGGTTTGTAAATGTCGTGATATTTGTCCCAGCGCATTCCGTTGTAAACAAAATTATATAAGAAGGAAGTTACCATGATGACATAAGTCCACTGATTTTGTCAACATTCATTTAATGCTTAGTATTTTCATTACAAGATTAGTCAAAAGGTTTGCAGAAATATAAACATATTTATAAATTAAAATATCCCGCCATCATCTTTTTCATGTTGTAAAGATACTTGCAAAAATCTCTGTTTGAACAAATGTTTTTACAGAAACGAACTCCAATTGACGATAAATTATCACTTTTTTCAGTAGACGCATTTATTCTATTTCTTAATACACTTTTGTAAATATTATCGTAGGTTTTCTGATCGTGGTGTGACTAAATAGTTTGAGCAAAATACTAATTTGGAAGTATAAGTTCCGTATAATATCATCCATCATGTCATATTGCTTTTCATCCTTCTAGGGTAAATGTTCTTTCTTTTTTTGTAAAACGAGAGACACCTCAGCTCATTGAGTTTTTTAAAACATACTACATTTTAAGTAATGTTCTTAAAATACATTGATTTTTTATTTAGTTAAATGATTTCTAAGTATCTGATTTTACCAATATCTGAATGTGGGATTTAGAGAATGTGCACATTATCTAAAATGGATGAATAATGTCAGAAGTAGAAACAGCAGCAAAGCATACTTCGGTCTTTTGCCGGCTGAAGTTCCCATTGGGCAACTCGAAGTTGCTGAGGTAGCTGCAGTGCGTTACAATGTAAAGGAATATTAGATATTATGAGGTAAATAGGAATCAGACTGATACTGGGAAGTTTCTAGTGAGAGACAGTGTGTGTAGGTATGAGTTACACTGACTGTAGTAAATCTCTGTTTAGACGATATCTCATAACCTAGTAAATTAATGTATATTTCAGTTGCCGCTTCGCTATGAATTTCCGATTTTGGATGACCAGGCTCCGGCCTTTGCGATTTATATTGAACAACCTTGAAACTGTGCATCACATAACTTTCAACGCTTTTGTATTAAAAAATACATCTTACGAACATACCACACCTCTCAATCGGTGTCAATCTCATCTCATCGGTGTCGGTCTCAATCTCATACTTAAGCCACATGGATGATTTTCGAAATGATTCGTTCGTTGTCATCCATACAACTTTATAAAAACTGTCTGGTTAATACGCGAATTAACTGACTTTAAAAGAGATTCTTTAGGATTTTTTTGTTATTTGAGGTCGCGTCAACATTTAGGGCATTAGCGATAATTGCATTTAACAGTATGGTAACTGTGAAGATGACATGATGTGATGATGATAGGGGGTGAAAGGATAAATACAAATATAACCATGCTTGAGGTGGAGCGCAAACCCGTGATCCTTTGATCCGAGATCGCTACAGCACTATTGCCTTAACGATCTCAGCCAACCGGACCGGCTCTTTAAGATTTTATTATTATTTAAATTAATTTCTCATAGCACGTCAATGCAGGCACTATACTTCGTTGAACGTCATTGACAATTTGTTCCGCTCTTCTGTCCAGTGTTGAACGTGGCGGCGGGCAAGGCGCCCATGCAGAGCAGCACGGAGGTGGTTCCGCAGCGAGCCGTCGACGGCAGCACCAGCGCCGCCTTCAGCGCGTCCACGTGCTCGCTGACGCGGCCCGAGCGCGCGCCCTGGTGGTACGTCAACCTGCTGGAGCCCTACATGGTGCAGCTGGTGCGCCTCGACTTCGGCAAGTCCTGCTGCGGTGAGTTCGGACCCCGGGCCTGCCTCTGTCACTCTCTCTCGGGTTCTTTTGGCGATCTTCAAGGTCAAGGAGAAATTTCGGGAATTCGGAACACTATTAAAATTTGTCCGTAAAATTCAAGACATGTTACAAATGTTACTCAATTTTCCCCCTTACATCATTATCATTAATTACATTGATTTGTACACGGAATATATGTAATACTTCTTTGATTCTTCTTTAATTGGTTATTCTCATGAATATCTTATTGCCGCAAAAAGTAGTTAATATAATTACGAACTCATGAACACAACGATATCAACCGTTTTATACCCTTTTCAAAATACCCTTACCAAATATGTACATTTGTCCTGTAAGCCTAAGAAAGTATTTTAGGTGTAATAAAAACACTGGTGAATAAATTGGAAATATTTCCAGGTCAGTATGTATTACTGAATATGAAGTATGATCTGAAATCTGTATCTTCAATGATTTCGTACAAATCGACATTGTCACACTTATATCAGATCCCCACGCTTCATTTTGACGAGCGAAATCGGAATTTCGGGAACGCGGGCATGCGCAGAGCAACTCTGCCGCCCCAGAATCCCTCTGCGCACGCCCGCGCGTGCAAAACCCCAAAATCGATCTTGAAAAGGAAGTGTGTAAGTCGGGTCATATACAGATGTTTCATAATAAATTTAACAAACTTCTAGGGAACGTAAGTGTGCCGAAAACGATCGCTTTTTGGAATGAACATGTACTGTGAAATTTCATATAACAGAATTCACATGTGAGTTACACATTTGTCCCTCTTGTTAATCAACACTTATGTACAGGTGTTAGACAGGTCATGTTTTGCCGCAGTCACGTAGATTTTATGTGACTGCCGAACACCTGTGCAATTGGACGGGATGGCCAAACAATCAGGGGCAGTTGTCACATGTGTAATTCATTATATAAACTTTCTCAGTAGTCGGTGACAGAAAATGATATTTTCGGCTCTTCTAGAAGTTTGTAACATTTACTCCAAGACCTTGAGTACGTCTTTACACCGTGGGCATAACATCTGTGGTCAGGGTTAAAAGTTCTTAAGAAAATGTTTGGTGAAATTGGGTTAAGTACTGAAACTAGAAGTTAAGTATCTACATTTTATTTTAGTAAAACGACCGATTGTCTACTAACGACAAAAAACGCTGGGAAATACTACAACTTAATCGTCTTAATATAGCTTACGGCTTAATAATGTAACCCTTTTTCCTCCAAAATAAATATTTGACTTAAGACTTAAGAACCCCGCGACCACAGCCATGCCGCAGAGCGTAGGGCGCAGGCGATTCGCCCGCAGCGCAGAGCGTGAGGGCGTGTGGGCTTGGCTTGCGCAGGCCAGCAAGGCGCCGCCACGGTGGTCGTGCGCGTGGGCAACAGCCGGCCCGACCTGGGCTCCAACCCCATCTGCAACCGCTTCACGGGCCCGCTCACCGAGGGCCGGCCGCTCTTCCTGCCCTGCAACCCGCCCATGCCGGGCGCCTTCGTCTCCGTGCACCTGGAGACGCAGGGCGGCCCGGCGCAGCTCTCGCTCTGCGAGGCCTTCGTCTACACCGACCAGGTGCGTCCCCAGGGGCCCTCTCCCGCTAGGAGGGGAAATCCGCCGGCGACCCGGGAATGCGGTGTTTCTCCTTCAAAGTATCTCCCCCGACGGGGCACACCCTCAACTCTTGACTAGTAGTGTAAGTAAGGGCTGAGGTAGGACAAGGAAGGGGAAGGGAAGATCGCGCGACTTCCTTGGCCCGTTTGTTAGAATACTGTTCCGGCATTCGTCTGGTATTGATCGGAAGAACCATGTAAGACTACTGATCACAGCAGCCGGCCGCTAGAATTCTTTTTCAGACAGTGGTTGAATTCCACCGAGCTCTACCTTATAAAGTATATTAGTTGAATTCAACAAACTATAAAACTGTGTGCATTG